AACGTGTATTGGGTTGTTCAAGGGGGGAAAGGGGGGTGGTAAGAGGTGGAGGGGGGTGAGGAGGGAGGTTAAGGCGAGCGATGAAATATGGCGCACGAACCGGGGACGTCTTAACGCGCATGCCTATCTGTTCTGTTCTGTGCGAGTCAAAAAAAATGTGAGAGGGGAACGAGGGGGCAGATGAGAGGGATCCCCCGCGGCTGGTGAGCGCGTGCCTCCAGGGCAATGCGGGGGATTTTAGAGGTTATGGAGGGGGGAAGAAGCAAAGGAGTCACGAAGGGGATTCACACGATGGGGGATCCACTGAGGAGGAATTTTCGCTGATGCTGTAGAGAATTCTTGAATTTTTTCGGGCGATTGAGAGGTTATGGGGGGACGCGGGGGCCAAAAGGTGTGAAATTTTGATCAGGAAGGGGCACCGGTGATAAGAGCGATGGGCAGTTAGAATGTAGGTAAAATGTGGGGGGCACTGCGGAGATCGTGGCGGGAACTTTTGAATTATTATGTCAATACGGCCACGGGTCCAATAATTTGTGATGTTGTGCAACGAATCATTAGGTTTTTTTTATCTATGACTTCATTCATTTACGGAACACCGTTTACCCTGTCAACTCAATTACAACATTGTAAAATTACTCCGGAGATGGGGACATGATGTAATAGCCCATCTGTCTAATTTGTAATTTTCTATGTGAAACTGCTTCGGATCAGTGATGAATATGATTTCGAAATGATGTCCCATGAAATTTTCCCAATATGATTGGAGAATTAAATAATGAATTTCGAATTTTGGCGAAGATTTATAAAGACCCATATTCCACTGCATTTGGACTGTGATTTATTGAATATTGGTTTGAAAGCATAAAAGTAATGACTGTATCAATGATTTATCACTTTTACCTCAATTGAGACATTGAAGAACAAGCGAAATGGAGAAAATTTTGGGTTTCTCTTCTCTCCATTCTTTATGTCACAATAATCCCAAAACAGGCGTTAGAATAATTTTGAATCTATCTCTAATGACTCCAGTGAAACCCGATCACCGCGAGTCATTTGAAAATTGATTATCGAAATCCGAAACAATAATGACGCAGTTAACCCGACTATAAATGACCGACTAACTGACAATCACTGTCACGGGATAAAATGAGTTACGAGCCGTTAATTCCATGAGTAGCGTATATATCATCAGTTCTATTGGTGCATTAACAGCGACGGAAAACCGCAAACAGATCTTCAAAAAAAATTGGTGTCAATAAAAATGAGAATGTAAAAAAATCATAAACAAAATTGTACAGAGAAAAACATGGCGTGCATTAAACCGCTCTCTCGCTGGTTATTCCATTATTGCTTACCTCGTTAAGACATCAAAAACATCCGACAAGACTGCATGAATCAAGCGAGATAAATTTTTCCACTCTCAAAAATTCCTCAGGAGAAGAAATATCATGTTGAATTTTATCCCCCGGGCTATCGTCACTGTAAGTCCCCTCCCAATTACTTCGTTACGCGACGGCAGGTAGTATAAACGTTTTCGGCTAAAGATATTTCTACCGCGCAAAAGTCGTTCGGGTGTTTTTAGCCTTTAGGCGTCCTTCTCGCAAAAAAAGAAAGAGAAAAATGTAAAAAATATAAATGAAAGAGAGAAAACCCGGAGCACCCGTCACGCCTTCCCAAACCCTTCGGTTCGCACGGGCTACCCTAGGGAAACTATCTCACTCGAGACGATGAGCCCCACAGAAACTGTGGAATCCCCGGGGGTTTTCGGTATTTTGCTACTACCACCCTGAGGAAATATCTCAAATGAGAGAACAAAGAAAAAAAAAAGGCTGCCAACCTTTTTTGCTCCAATTAGGGCACCAGTTCCCACGGAATTCCTCTTCCGCACGAGTTAAAAGGAGTTTTAACGTTCTCGAACAGATGGCAGCACCTGGCGGATCCTCCTTGACTTCATCCTGATGTAGAGAGAGAGGATGTCAAATGCGAAGAGCTCAACTGTAAACAGAGCGACACACGTGAATGCGAAACTAAGTGGTAACGTTTCACCTCAGTCGGTAATAAAGATTTTCTACTATGCAAAATCCATTTTTCCCACCTTCAATGTGCCATTCGATGAATTAAAAATTCACAACCCCGGAAAAACGACGATTTGGGCCTCAGGCCCCTCCATCAATTTTAGCAATTTTTCCAAAAATTGTTTCACAAAGTGCTGCTTGGAAAAATATACCTTGCGGTCAGAGAAAAAAATCAGTTGTTTATCTGGCGATTTGGTAGTTTTATATATATTTTTTTTATCTTTTGGAAGATGATCTGGGCCCGAGTTTAAACCACACTACTAAATAATAGTAGGGGAGATATCCTTTACAACCCTCCTAGAAATGTGTCTACAATGTGAAAGAAAATAAAGAGTGAGAGATGAGTGAATGTGTATGGGTCTGTTTGGGTCCAGAGAGTCGTGAGACGTTTACCTAATTGCCGGTCACAAAAAACCGCGCACCGCCCTAACCACAGGGCCCCGAGGTAGCCCAATGGGTATTATGAGTTGTATCGCCCTCTCTCTCTCTTCATATTTATCTCCTCGGTTCTGCAACCATTGGATGATGTCTGGGTGAATTTTTATCTCTGTATCTTTTTATGATATGTGGGAAATTGACACGTTGGATTGATAAAAGAAAATAATGTAATGGTACGTGTTGGGGCCCCATGCCCTTATACTCCGATGTTTATATACGGTCATAAAGAGTGTTTACTAACAGAGATATTATGAAAGAGGCCGCGAGAGTAAAAATGCAAACATAGACCTGTAGATATTTTTGGTGGTGCGATAAGATTTTTGGGCCTCATGCTCTAAAGAAAAGTATAAACACGAGATTTAAGATTCTTCTTAATGCTTCAAGAAAAAATGATATCCATCTGAATTCGACCGTAAAGATGAAATGTTTGAAATTATAACTGAACAATTGGGCCTTATCCGCCCAATTTTAACGGCATATGTTACATTGACGGATGGTGGCGCCGAGAGGATAAAAAAAATGATCGAAAATGAGATCAAAAGAGGAGTGAACAATACATCAGGCGTATCCCGAGCAACTCCTGGAATTCGGTCGGTCAGGATTTCTCTCTGGTGGGACCCAGGGGTCCCGGAGGTCGCGAGCCGCCCGGTGACCCTTTAGATAAGACCCACGCCCTAATAAGTAGTTACACACACATGGCGCTCAAGTGAGCCCGGGATATCCCCATGAGTCCTCCCCCGAAAAACAGCCGGGGCCTTTTAGAACAATCTGAATCCACGATGGGGCCCTAACCTTCTTGCGCACCAACTCTGTGGTTAACATTTTAGGACTCAGTGCCGAAGTTTAAACGAGGGAGTGAGGAGAGGGGGGGAAATGCCCACGGGACATTCCAGAGGGGCCTTACGCTCCCACACCCCCGAGCGAAATAAAATCGCTGGAGGGCCCAAAATCGTCGAAATTTAATTTCATAACCCTCTGGGGCCCCTTTTTCTCCCCATCTCTATCTCTACATCTCTCTCTTTCTCTCTCTCTCTCTCTCTCTCTTACATCTGCAATGTCTCTTGGGATAAATTGTTGGGGCCTTAAGGAACGTTTCGCGTAATGGTGAGAGAGCTTCCTTTTCTGACCTCAAAAATATCACCCCGCACTGTCATTATCACCCTCTACCCCCATAACTCCTCTTCCTTTCCTTCCTCACTCGTGGGCCTTATGGGAATTTTGGGCCCAAAGTAATTGAAGTAGAAAAATATTTCACCGATAAAATGAAGAGATCTTCTTTTGCGTTTTTTTTTAATAATCCCCCATTAATCCGTGTTTCACAGTTGTCACTCCGAGATGGGGCCCGAGGCCCAAAACAAAATACATGGAAAAAAAAATGTTCAAGAAACCTCAAATCATTTTCTGCCAAAACAAATCATTAGGTGTTTTTCAGCCACGATTAAAAGCCATCAAAACTCCTGGCAATTTCTTCGAATTTTTTGTTTTTTTTTTGTTTTTGAAAAGATAATGAAGAGTGATGACCAATGATGCAGAAGGTTAGCTTTTCGTTACTGAAAATAAATGCACCCGGGATGACACAAGAGGTTTCAGGAAGAAAAATGAGAGATTTTTGTTTTCTCTTTTTTTCTTAGACGCGAGAAAAGATGTTTTTTCTTGTTCTCGTACCTGACCACTTTTCCATTGTGTCTCAGGACTATCCAGCTGATTTGAAAGAACGATTATACGAGGAATGAGAAGAAAAGATGAAGACCATCAGCGAATACTCGGAACCACGGGAGGTCACTACCTACGATTATTGTAATTAAATCATTCCCTCCTACTTTTTTCGGGTTGTAGTTTCGGCTACCTGACTCAAGGGGTCGTATGTCAATGTTCATCATCAGGGTCGAATAAAAAATCACTCTGGAGATGAGAAGATGAGCAATTGTCAGTAATCATGAATTACTTTTACTGTATAAAATAATGCCATTATGGCACCCATTCAACATCTACTCATGACTAACTCCCAATATTTGTCAACCAATAGAACCATTTTATTGGCATTCATGGGTGCAAAAGGGGGAGGGGTCGTCAGCCATCGTAAGGTCGTGAACTTAATTAAAGATACACATTGGCCCGCTGAAATAGAAAATAAACTCAGGGTAAGACTGGCCCCAGGTGGTCATTTATTCGCACTCGAACAATTACCTCTCCCCTCCAACTTTTTTTCCATCCCTTACGACCTGAAAAGGGACCCCTCGAAAAACATCAACTGTCTCAACAATAAAACAGTAAAGAAAGGGAGAATAAAATCCGGAAACATTCCCAAAAGTCATTGACAAGCCGAGTAACGGGCCCGAATGATTCTCTTTGTCGAGCAAGTCCCAAACTTGGAGCCCCTGAAATAAAAGAGGAAAGGATATTCAAGAATAAATGAATTCTCTTCAATTTTCAACTGCCTTTCCATTTTAATAATTTCCCAAGTCAAACTATAAATCTTTAATACAGACTAGGGTGAGCTTAACTCATAACTAACATTATATTTGGTATCTATGATAGTTAATATTACGCTAATTTCAGTAGAATCAATCACACATTTTCGAATGAGATTTGGTAACTTCTCAAAGTAGGTACACCATGAATTCAACATTTCTCTCGATTATAAACTAACATCAATAAGTTTTAAACACGATGTACATTAAGAAGATATGATACATTCAGAGTTGGTCTTATCCCTATTATTTACACCCTTTTGAATTAGTGGTAACGGAGGAGTGGAGAGAGGTAACGACTAAAAGGTTTCGATAAGATGGAAAATGTACGAGGTGTGGGGGATATGTACAGTATGGGTGGTCCAGGGTTGACCAGAGACTATTTACAGGTCACTGGAGACGACTAAAAAACACGACAAAGACAAAAACGTCTTTCCCAGATATTATCTCATTGAAAAGTCCTAATTTTCAGAGAGATCGGCCATCTCGTGGATATCCAATGGTTATTCAAATAGCTTGACACTTCCGGTTCTTTGTCTCGGGGAGAATGTACGTCAGCTGGTCCTCAAATTGTTTCGGATTAATTCGGAATGATTCGAATTGATTCGGATTGATTCGGAATGATTCGCATTGATTCGGATTGATTCGTATTGATTCGGATTTATTCGGAATGATTCGGAATGATTCGGATTGATTCAATAAATTAGGAGTTACGGAATATATTAAGTGTCTATGTACAGTGGAGATGATCTCCTTATCACCGGTATAACCCCTGGATTCTCTCAGAGCCCCAGAATATCCTGTGGTTTTAGCGTCTCATGATGTCTTCGATGGTGAAACCCAATTTTGGAGGAGGTGTCCTCTCCATCGGGGGAACATACGACTGCTGGTGGATCATCACCTCGTGGGGATCAACGCGCAGGTCCTGGGGTACTTCGGTGTGGGTTAGAAGGTGAGTCTTTAGATTACTTCGTTGATTGAAGCTCTTGGAGCAGACTGGACACTTGTGCGGCGATTGCTCCAGATGAAGGGCTTTGTGGACCTGGAGGGTTCTACTCTGGCAGAAACCTTTGCCGCATTCTGTGCACTTGAAGGGCTTCTCCTTGCTGTGGATGTACCTGAACAAACGAAATTAAAAAATTAAGATCAATTCGGTCATTGCAAATATTTCAATATTTTCAGTAGAACTCGTTGATATTTTTTAATATATAAAGAATAGATATAATTTTGTAGAACTCGGTATTCTTTTTATTAATGAAAAATTAAGAATGTATAAGAGATGAATATACATTTTTTTCGATATTTTTAAAATTTCAATTGAGTAAATTTCGGATATGTTAATAGATATTTTTAGAAATATCCATTTTTACTGGTGAATTGAATGAAAAATATATCTGGGAAATGATGAGTCCAGGATTTTCAATTAATCTGATCATACCCTTTACCACCGAAAAATTCCCCACTCCTGTGAATTTACAGGCTAATGCATTGCCCCCTCTTCTCAATATTAAAATCTTCCTGAAGGTCAATAATTTGAACTGAAAGAATTTTGAAACTTACCGATGATCTCGGAGATGATCCTGTCTTCTGAAGGCCTTTCCGCAAATGTCGCATGAGTACGGCCTCTCATCGGTATGAGTTCGCTCATGAATGAGAAGATTGTAGCTCTTCGTGAACTGGCGATTGCAGAATTTACAGATGAACTGTTTCTTGGGACGTTGACCGGGCAGTCGCCTGGTGAGAAAGCTGGCAGGCGGTGGAATGGTAAGCCCCGGATGAAGAGGTGGCTGATGATGATGAGATGGTGTCTGAGGACAGTATCCACGAGCTGCCATCACCGCAGCACCTCTCAGCCAGTGATCAAAGATTGCCGCGTGATAACTCGGATGCTGGGGATGAGGTGGCGGTCCATGGGGTGGAATTCCTCGGATCCAACGGGGGGGTGACCCCACGTGTGTATGAAGACCCGATGGGGGTGTGTGGGGGGGAGTGAGCGGCTCCATCTTGGCAGTCTCCATCATTTTATATCTTCACTTCACAGTATTTCCTTTTATTTTTCACTCACTAAAAATCAAGTCACCTTCACTGGTCCCTCCGGGGTGTCCGACGATGACGATCCGGACGGGGTGAAAACTGATTTAAATTCAATATTTCCAGTGGAAATTTCGGTAAAGATTTGCTGTGGCGCTCTCCTCGGGATTCGAGACGATACTGAAGTGGAGGAAAAGTTCAAGTTGGGATCTGGTGGAGGCAACCGATCCCAGACCCCTGGGTAACGGGAGGCACTTGGGCTCCTCCTCCTGTTCGTTGGCATGCCGACTCCCGGTTGGGCGCTCTTGGTATACAGGGGGCGGGGCTTCTGAAATGAGTGAACGAGGCATCAACGGTTGCCCCTACGGGCGTCGCGACGCTACCTGCCAGGGGTGGGGTAGGGGGCCACCAGTGGATGACGCGCACCAGCTACTTCTTCTTTGTCTCCACCACGCATTTTTCCACCGATTTTTTTCTACCTTTTTTTTTTCTCCCGCCAGGGGAGGGGGGAGTTATTAGTGATAATACACTTGAGGAAAATTGAGTGCTCATAAAAATTGAGGGACGGGTAATTGTCATTTCAAATGATGAAATTTTTAATTCATCGATAACGATGAAAATACCGAATTAATTAATGCTAAATTATTGTTCTTAGGATCTTCAGTGGTTTTCCGGGAATGCGATGGGGACGATGAGAAAAAAAATACTTCGGTTAAGTTAATGCAAATATTGTAATTGATCAAATTTAAATTTTTCATTTTTTATGTAATATCAAACCGATATGATTCCAAAAGTAGAAAAATGGAGTTTTTAATTTTTCCAACTTCATCTCTAATGATTTCAGATGATGGATCCATGAAATCAAATTTTTCTTTCTCATACCTAAATATTGTTTAAGTCTAGTGGTCAATATTAATCAGAATTCAATTGCTTTATTAATTTTGTTAATTTCAGAATTATCTAAAATCAATTTATTCACCATAACTAGATAAACAATGACAGTGGGTATTTCAACGATCGTTTCGTAAAACTTGTCGCGATATCTTGAACGAGTTGAAGGATGGAAATAACAGCGATCGCCGTTATATCGATATTATCGAATATATACATATTCGATATCGATATAAAAATTCGTAGTTTATAAATATTTAAATTCTAGACTTCACGTGGTACATTTTCCCTCAATTAAATTTAATTAGATCGCGAAATAATAATCCCGATATTATTCCGTCGACAAAAATTTACCGATTACCATTTGTGAAACGCTAATTTATTAATAAAAATAACTATACTATGACGATGGGCGTTAGCTTTCGGCAAGAAATTGTTTTATATTTTTCCTGCACTAAATGAAGTTAAAGATTAAAAAAAAAATCATTTAACTACATTATATGCAACGAAAGAGGAATTACCCATTGGTTTTCTCTCAGGGAAAGTCTTTGGAGAATCTAGTGAAATAATCTATTCCATTTCTCAGCCCTCCCCCAAGCGAGAAAAAACCCTCGGAATTATCATCTAAATGTCCAGATGTCAAGAGCATCAGGTTGCCGATAACAATCGCTAACCAGCAGTCCTATTTTTTTTTTTATCTCGACTTCCACCATCGAGTGATGATGCGAAACCGTGAAAGAACGATTTCTTTGACCCTCACTCGATGAAATAAATAAAAAACGTATGAGTAATCGTCAAGTGTGTATGAACGGTGAGTTTATCAGTGAAGTGAGAGAGCGATATGGGGCTCCTGTTGATTTCTCGAGAGTGTTTTTTGGTCGAGGGAGGGAATCGATATCTCACTCGTCGACTCTCGTAATAATCGCCTCGCCCCGGCACATTTCGCTGTCATAAATATATCCTCGTGAAATAGTTCAAACAGAATATACAACTGATAAAATGAATGCCCTCCACTCATTCTCGCGGTCTCTCTCTCTCTCACTTTTTTTTTTTCAGTTCATTTTTTCTCTGGGGAATGTTAACTCCGGTGTCATAAACAGAGATATTAGCCGGTAAATGCAGGGGAATGTTTATTATTCCTTCGGCGAGCTCTCCAGGAATCGATTGAAGCCATTAATTCATCGATTGGTCATTGAGAAAAATTTGCGGATTTATTAATGACTTTGGGAAAATTGCCGATTCTGAATTCGAAGAAAAGTCAATCATTTCGATGATGAGACACGAAGAAAATTTATTAATAACAAATTTCCCACAATTCGATTTTTATTCGCGATTTGCGGAGAAATTTTATCAAAAAACTGTCTGAGTATTGAATAAATAATAATTCATTTGCTTACAAAAATGAAGAATATCATTGAAAAATTGATTTGCCATAATTCTGACAAATCAATTGTCTTAATTTTTTTTTTAATAAAAATTTGACGATTTGAATGTACAATTTATTCTAACAGAGAATTCCTATTGTTTAAAATTTTCTCGCAGCGAAAGAAATTAAATAAAAATTATAACATAGGAAGAGGGGGCGAGGGGATTGAGGGGAAATGTTTTTGAATAAAATTAATGAGAATGGATCACGACGGTTATCACTGGAGCAACTGATCCGCTAATTGGAACACGAATTTTTTCCTGTTGAACACGCGCTGCTGGTCTGAGTAATAACCACTCGGTGTTATCCACTCGATTCTTCTTTTTTATTTTTATTTTTTCATTTTTTGCTGAGGCTAATGGGTGGAGAGTAATCTCATTATGCGCCAACAACACGCCACAGCTGGATACAACTTCGAACCTGTCGCTTCTGAATTTTTCGATGAGTCAAAATCCTGAACTCCAGTATATTTTTATAAAAAAAAGACCGACCCGTTCTGCTCCACATTTATTTTCTCATTTTTCGTTTTATCAAAACTGAAGAGAAATATATCCGAAGAGCATGCGCAATTTAAGCGCAATTAAAGCGCAATTCAAGCGCAATTCAAGCGTAAAGAGTCATAATTATTTAAACTAATTAATTAATCAATTTTTTAAAAATATGTTTTTCACTTTGGGTTATCAGAGAAGAGTTAATAGACTGATCGCGCATTCGATTATTATCGATTTACCGGGAATATCGACAAAGGATCATTCAGTAGCTTCTTACATCGAGAAATAAGTGAAGTTACAAAATTGATAAATCGGAATAAAAATAAAAGCATTGGAGTGGCTCAGTGATAACGATCGGTGCTCACTTTGATGTGGAGAAATGAGTGATTCTTATCGATTTTATGACTCTTGGAGACACACAGTCCAGAGATAACCAATCTTTTTCATATTTCCGCTCGGATGTATCATCGTTATTTACAATTTCATCACTCTAACTGGAAGGTTATATTGATCATTGGCGGAATATTTAGCTCTCTGATTAGAAACACCGGGAAAATTCGGAGGTATTCTACCAAAAAAAATATATATGTTTGTTTTTCGTTTTTACATTTCCGGAATTCCTCACGGTTTCATCATCAACGACAGAATTCGAAAGGAAGGACTGGCCGATCAGTTCCGACTTTCGTCGACTAACTAAAAACCTAAACCTTTCTTTTAATAACAATAATAAAATAGAGTGACATTAAAAATTGTTCCATTGTGGATTTTTAATTGTCTTTCATATCTGAACAGAGATGAATAGATAAATTAAGTATTGATTATTGATTGACATTAGTCGATTGATAGACTGTCAAGTAGGATTCTCCAAAAATAAAAAAAAAACATAAATAATGTGAAAAAAAAATCGGTAATAATAATGTACATCATGGAATAGGCTTATTGTAATTTTTATATTCTTTATTGTAATTGTAATTGGCTGTGCGTCAATAAAGATGTTTATTATTCTAGATTCCTAACGTCGTTAAACAATGGAAAAAATTAATTTTTCGAAAGCATAAATTTGACATTGAATCTAACAATCATTAAATGATTTTCAAGACGCTTATCGTTTTAGATAGTGATTCTGTGATCTGACAAAGACATTCGACAGTGTCAATTGCTACTACCCCAATTTAAATAAAAATATGTCCCTATTACCCCACACTCTTCTATAAAAAAACTGATAACTAAAAACATACGGTGCGCGCGCAGAAAGTGTTTTTTCTCACTTGTGCCGTAATATCCAGTGCCATGGAGACGAAGACATCCTGAAGGGATGGGTACGGGTTAGAGTTTGCTGGCGAGAGGGGGGTGGATAGGGGGGTTATGTCTAGTCTGATGGAGCTTTGAAAACCGAATTAACGACCCCCTGCCTCGGGGTACAGGCGACCGTGTACACCAAACTCATCTCCGCCCCCATTATATTTGTCTTTGTATGCTAAACGATTTTCCGAGATTACACCAGACATTGCATATGCAGTGCCCGATGTACTCCATCGCTCCATCTTTTTTTATATAAATAATGGTGGAGAGGAAGAAATAACGAGATTTTTCGCACAGGGTGCAGAAAGTGGTCTTTCCAACTGTGGAATTACACTGAGAAAAATAATTATTACTTAAAATAATAAACCATTTATTACTTGATTAATTTATTCATTTTAATTATTACTTGAAATAATTAGTTTTGCCAACTAAATTTACTAACGACGAACAAAGAAAATTGTTTAATAAATTCACGAAGCAGAAATAAATTAATTCACCGTGAGAATTTTCTCTCCGATGACGACAAATCAATTAATTTTGGGATAATCACAAATGAGAAATAAAAAAAGAATTGATATTTTTTACTTAGAATAATAATCCCGTGAAAAATTCAGTTACAATGTGATAGACGAAGAAGATAGGAGAAGTGCATTTTTTTCGAGGTCAGTTTTCAAGAAATATCTCAGAAATTAAGAGAGATATCGACTTTTCCGTAGATACCTTTTTTGTTGCGATAATCTTTTTCTATAAAAAATATTCATACAAAAAAATCGATATATTCCTTCAGTTCCGAGGTATCGGGCAATAACTAGCTTCAAAAAAAATGTACTGATCCTATAATATATCCATTTCGCTACTAAATTCCGTACTTGCATATTCAATAAAAAGAATTAGTTTTTATTTTTATATTTCATTAGATTTCTAATTAATAAACAGGTTTATTACTTAAAATACCTAATTAATAAAATAAATAAAAATTAATTAATTAATTAAACCTGATTTTAAACAATTTTCTCTTGGAGGATACCCAAGACCGTCAA